TTCGACTCGACGACAGGGCATGAACGATTCGATGACATTGCACCGCGCACAATCTTGTTCCACTAGAGGACAGGGAAGGATCGTGTTCGACTCGATCGCAGTCGACGATCTTGTTCGACTCGACGATCGTGTTCGACTCGACGATCGTATCCGACTCGACGATCGTGTCCAACTCGACGATCGTGTTCGACTCGACTATCGTGTTCAACTCGACTATCGTGTTAGACTCGACGATCGTGTTCGACTCGACGACAGGGTACTCGCCCATCGTGTTCGACTCGACGAATGCAATCGACGATCGTGTTCGACTCGACGATCGTGTTCGACTCGACGATCGTGTCCGGCTCGACGATCGTGTTCGACTCCACGAACGCAATCGACGATCGTGCTCGACTCGACTATCGTGTTCGACTCGACGATCGTGTTCGACTCGACAACCGTGTCCGACTCGACAATCGTGTCCGACTCGACGTGTTCGACTCGCCTATCGTGTTCGACACGACTATCGTGTTCGACTCGACGATCCGTCACTGTCGTGTTCGACTCGACGATCGGTCACTGTCGTGTTCGACTCGACGATCAGGCAGTGCTGTGTTCGACTCAACTATCGTGTTCGACTCAACGACCGGGCAGTATCGAGTTCGAGTCGACGATTGGGCAGTGTCGTGTTCGACTCGACTATCGTGTTCGACTCGACGACCGGGCAGTGTCGTGTTTGACTCGACTATCGTGTTCGACTCGACGATCGGGCAGTATCGTGTTCGACTCGACGACCGTATTCGAGTCGACGATCGGGCACGATCGTGTTCGACTCGACGAGCGTGTTCGACTCAACTGTCGTGTTCGACTCGACAATCAGACATCGGGCGCGATCGTGTTCGACTCGATTATCGGGCACTGTTGTGTTCGACTCGACGATCGGGCACGATCGTGTTCGACACGACGATCGGACACGGTCGTGTTGGACTCGACGATCAGGCGCGATCGTGTTCGACTGGACGACCGGAAGTGCCACGTGGCGTTACGTGGTTGCATCTCGGCTGCGTCGTTGTGTCCTCACCGTCCGATCCTTCAAACTCGGGGTGCTCCGCTGTGGTTGTGCATCCCGATCTTGGGCCGTATGCTCGCCACGTCGTCGCGCTGAACACGCCTCTCAACAACGCTGTGGTCCGCCGTCGCGTCGAGCAGGTGGTCTGCTATGCACGGACTGAATCCCTGCGCTCCGTTGCCGCGCTGTACACGAGCCTCCACTGAGTTGCGTTGTGGCACGAGCCTCCGCTACGCTGCGCTACTGCTGCGTTGCCGAACTGAAACGAAAATGGGAACTGGTGGCCCTCCCTCATATATATAGTTTTTCAAGTGGGCCCTTCGCGGGCACCTGCTGGCCGTCCGATCCGGGGATACTGACGGTCGGGATGTTCCGATGGGGAGTGGTGGGCCTGCCTCGTATATGTGGTTTTCCGGGTGGGCCCTCCGCGCGCGCCTGCTGGTCGTCCGACCCGGGAATACGGACGGGGGGCGGGACGATCCAATGACTGCAGTCGGTCGCGATCGTTTCCCCCCCTTGGCCAGAGCGGAGGCGCGGGGATGACGTTCAGCTGCAGAGCAGAAATGCGATTCGCGCACATGAGTACCTGCGACATTGTGTCATTGTTCGCGTTCTGGGAGAACCAGCGCAGCGGTCTGTCAACGTCGACACGACAACTGCCCCGCTCTCCAGGTTAGTGCCGCTTCGGCCAACACGCCCCCCCCTCGAGAGAAAGAGAAAAGCCTCCGTGTCCAGTGCTGGTTTATCGGTGACGTCAACAAGTTTTCTCGAACACTTTCACCGCAGTCGTCGTCGTGTCGAACGTGATGGTCGACACGGCCATCGTCGTCTCGAACACGATGGTCGTCGTGTTGAACACGATCGTTGTCGTGTCGAACACGCTGGTCGTCGTGTCAAACACGATCGTCGTACACAATGGTCGTCGTGT